GGGGGGGGGGCAGCTTCTCTAGGGGAACAAGGAAAGGGTGGACTGAAGGCTTTCAGATTTACATTTCTGAAAAGCAACGTTCCCAAGTGCCGGCTAAACCAAACACTCCTTACGAGGAGGGGTCATGCGCGGGACTTCAGTTTGCCATCCCCTCCAGTTAACGCGGTCCTCATTCACCATTCATTCAAAGTATCCCATTCACAGATCCACTCGGCACTGCCTGGCTCTCAATGCCGGCCGGGCAACGCGAACGCAGAGATGAGAGCTCTTGCCTTCCCGCCGCGCCCCGGGCCCAGCCCAGAAGGCACAGCACCGGAGTCTGCAGGTGCGCCGCACGGGCAAGCCGAGTCGTGCACGCCGCGCCCAGGGCAGTCGGCGCCAGGGGCAGCTGTAGAAGCAAGTCGCCGAGTTTCCTTTCCCCCAGATGCATTCTTCCAGAAGCCCACTTGCGAGGGATCCTGGGCATGCACTCTGTTGCAGAACGCTCGGAAGACTCCGAGCCGGGAGAGGGGATCCGAGCGCCCCGCCTCAGAGATACACTACGAACCGCGCGCGCTCCCGCCCGCACCGCACTCTCGGCTCGCGCTCGTGGGGACTTACCGAGCGCGGCAGCTTGGCAGGCCCGGGCCCGAAGTTGACCACCTGCCTCCGGGCGCTCATGATGCGGCAGCGCAGGAGGCGAGGGAAAACGAGAGAACTGACCGCGTGGGCAGCGCAAGTCTACTGCTGGCTCAGACCTTCTGCCTCCTCCCAGCGCCCAGTTGGCGCCCCCATTGGCCCGCGCTGTCGCAGGCCCTGCGCTAATTGGTTCGCGCTACGGGGCTCGCATCCCCATTGGTCATGCGCCTCAGCCAGGGCCCAGGAGCAGTTGCTCCTCCTCTCGTCTACTGCCTCAGCTCCTCTCTTTCTGATCAGTGCAAGGCGCGCGGGAGATTGCACCAGCCGCCCAGCTCGGCAGAGTGCCCGCCCTAGGATCGTGGGCGGCGGGAAAGGGCTGCCCCTGCCAACGTGGGTTCGTGCTTCTGCGGCCTGGATCCGGACCGTTTCCGCCCTCCAACCGCAGCCCCCTCTCTCTTGGTCGCATTGGGAGACGTGGAGCAAATCCTTCCCCAATCCAACCACTTCTTCACCCGCCCCTGGTCTGGGCTCTGATGCATGCTTCAGAACCAGCGGTTACTAATTCACGAAACTTTTCTAAGCGCCCCCCACCAGCCCCGGATGCCGCATTGGAGAGGCAGGGCTCTCAAGAATGGAACTACAGAGTGAAGGATGGACGGACGGGAGGGGGAGTGCGGGGGGAGGGGGAATGAGATTCCTTACATGGGTAGATGGACCAGGAGTTCCTGCAGAATGAAAGGATGGAGCGGCCAAGCACTCGAGGAGGAGAACTGGCCTGGGAAACCTGGATCCCCCCCCCCCCCCCCCCCCCCCCCCCGCCCCAGGCAAGTCCTTTCAAGTTGCTGATTCTCCATCTCCTTTTGTGAAAAGAGCGAGTACGAACCTGGCATTCGCTCTCAGGTTGCACCGGTGCTGACAAGCTGTGGGTTTAGAAACGTGAGGAGATATTAACGGCAATGCGAAACCACTAGGGAGTCAGTGCAAGCCTAGGGAGAGGCCCAGAGTCAGTCTGCAGCCCAAGCCAAGCCGGGCGCCAGGCCAGCGCTGCTCAAACTTTTCCACAGACGCATCCTTCTCAAAAGAACTCCCGTGGAGACCCGCATGGTGTTCTGAAACAGGGAGGCCCCCCTTCCCCACAAGAAAGACATTTCTTTGAATTCTGGAATTTCATTATTTTTTGAACTGCGAAGTCTGCTTTCTACTCCATAATTTAACCTAGTTTCTTTGAATATAAAGAATATGTTACCAAATCTTTGAGCAAAATTAGTGCTCCAGGAATACACACTGGGGCTTCCTGTAACACCACCCACAGGGGGACCTACCGCCCCATTTGAAAAGGCTTGTAAGATGACTGGTTTTTTTGGCTTTTATTTGTTTTTTGTGGTATGTGGGTGGGATGGGGCTGGGGGTGGAGGTCCTGCTTTGGATTTGTGAGTTGGAGGGCAAAATTTCTAGAAAAAGCTCAAATGAACAAGGTCGCTGCCTTCCACAGCACCCTCATTTAAGAAACTGAAAAACTGAGTAAAAAGGTGTGAATCTCAGTCCATAAACTAAGATGTGTAAGAATAGTCACTTATCCATTATTTTATATAAAGACTTATCTGTAGACCCTGAGCAGCCAATCCACTGAAGGAGTGGGGGAACTGGCCTTCCTCCTTCCTGGAGTCCCTAACCACAGGGATTTACACCGCCCTGCGGTGTGGGATGGAGAGGGGAGCACCCAGCCATTTGGTCCCCATCCCCCCAAATTTGGCTGAGTTGTCTCCACTATTCAGGTTTATATGGCTGCTTCAGTCAATTAAACCACGTCTGTGTCCCACAAGGAACACAGGAAATTCGGGTGGGCTGGAGGTGGCGATCATCCTATCAGCCGAGACAGGCCACGAGGTCATTCTTTCTAGGGCTTTCCAGTTTCTGAGATGATATTACAGGGAACTGAGGCACACAGACCCTCTGCCCAGGCAGGTACTGCTGACCTCTGGCTCTCTCTCTCTCTGTCTCTCTTCCTCCCAGCCCAAGGGAATCTCTTTTTCATTCTAGAGAGAATCCACTTCTTTCTGTTTCTTCCTCACACGCTGGGCACAAATACCTTAATTCTGCACCACAAATTCCAGTGTATTCTGGGCCACTTGGGAATAGAAAGGTGGTGGTGAAATTGTGGTGAGTTGGAACGTGCCCACCCGTTTGTGCAGGAGTTGCACAGGCCCACCACACGTTCCTGCTTTCCTTCCATGGAACAGAGTCGTCGCCAGGAAGTGGCGGCCCAGCCAGCCTCCTCATTTCCCAGCTCTCCTTGCGTCCAGGCAGATCGCGTGCCTGGGTCCCATCAGTGGAATGGAACCGAGGATGTCCCTTTCCGGGGTGGGGAAATGGTGTGTTTCTGCACTTCTTTTCCCCACTCCACAGGCTGAAATCAGAGACTCTACGTTCCCCGGAGATGGTGGAGACACAGAAAGGAAGGATCTCCATCCAGTCTCTGTATCACAGACTCTGGGCTTGTTATTCACAATCGAGAAAGTATCTCTTCTTTTGTGTCGTGCCACTGAAATCCGAGGGGCTTTTTGTTCCGGTGGCCCATGTTATCCTAATTAATACCCCACTCTCCACACGACAGCTGCAGCTCAGGTCCAGCTGTTGTTGCCAAATGGGCAAAGTTGATGGAGCTGTCTTCCCATTTATAAGGAAAAACCAGAAACCCAGATGTTGATGTGATGTTTTCCAATTTTTTTTTCAACGTTTTTTTGTGTGTTTTTTTTTTTTTTTTTTTTTTTTTTAATTTATTTTTGGGACAGAGAGAGACAGAGCATGAACGGGGGAGGGGCAGAGAGAGAGGGAGACACAGAATCGGAAACAGGCTCCAGGCTCCGAGCCATCAGCCCAGAGCCTGACGCGGGGCTCGAACTCACGGACCGCGAGATCGTGACCTGGCTGAAGTCGGACGCTTAACCGACTGCGCCACCCAGGCGCCCCTGATGTTTTCCAATTTTTAAACGTCTCCGAATTTAAATTTCAGAACACACTGTACAGGTCAATATTGTTAAGGGGTCCCGTCTAGATTCCCTCCAGGCCTGATTCAGCTAGCTGGCCACCAGCTCTCCTTTTTTTTTTTAATTTTTTTTAACGTTTATTTATTTTTGAAACAGAGAGAGACACAGCATGAACGGGGAGGGGCCAAGAGAGAGGGAAACACAGAATCGGAAGCAGGCTCCAGGCTCTGAGCCGTCAGCACAGAGCCCGACGCGGGGCTGGAACTCGCGGACTGCAAGATGGTGACCTGAGCTGAAGTCGGACGCTTAACCGACTGAGCCACCTAGGCGCCCCTACCAGCTCGCCTTCTAACGACTGCTTTACAGTATTCTGCCGCATAATTCCCTCCTTCAGCGAGGAATACACTCTGCTCCCTGCTTGAATGAGAGAATGAGAAAAGAAAAAAAACACTAGGGAAATGTAATTTAATCTCAAAATATCCCTCTGTCACCCTTGCCTATCTTGCAGCGCAGATGTATAAAGACAGCCCAGGGGATTCCTGCATTTCAGGAGGGCCCCTCCCCTCTTAGTAGGCTCTCACTGAGGTTAAAAGCAGCTTCTTTATGAAAGATGTATTTTGCAAATGTCAGTTTCACAGGTGTTATTTCTTGAGCCCTTACTGTACATATGTGAATGTGCCGCCATTTCCAGTCAGGTTGGCCATCCCATTTAGAGGGGAAGGAGAAAAGGGGCGCCTGGGTGACTCAGGCAGTTGAGCATCTGACTCTTGATTTCGGCTCAGGTCATGATTTCACAGCTCATGAGTTCAAACCCCGAGTCAAGCTACAGGCTGACAGAGCCTGCTTGGGATTCTCTCTCTCTCTTCCTCTCTCTCTCCCCCACTCAGGCGTTTTCTCTCTCTCTCTCAGAATAAATAAACACACTTTAAAAAAAAGAGGGGAAGGAGAAGAGAACTGAACAGAAAAGAAACCTGTTGGGAATGAGGGAAGAGTATTTCTGTTGCCCTTTTCTGTAGCTGGAGCTGAAGATCCTTTTCTGTTATCATTACTCCTGGAGGAAATGAGGGACAGGACAAGGGACTCAAACAAAAAGTCAAAATCCTATAACACTCTTCATTCTGACCCCAAAAGGTGGGAAAAGTTACTCACCCTGCTTACTTTACGACCTCAGTTTATTCCCTCTCCCTACTTCACTGCATTTTAAAAATTTGTGATAAAACATACATAACAGAAAAGTTACCATTTTAACCATTTTTAAGGGTACAGCTCAGTGGCATTAGTACATTAAGTGTTGCACAACCGTCACCACTGTCCATTTCCAGACTTTTTCGTCTTCCCCAGCTGAAACTCTGACTGTATCCATTAATTAGTAAGTCCCCACTCCCCTTTCCCCTAGCCCCCATAAATCACGGTTCTTTCTGTTTCTGTGCATGTGGTTGCTCTGAGTACCTCTCATAAGGGGAACACAATGTGGGAAACAAAGGCAAAAGAAAAAAATTAAATTTCCTTACAACTTTACAAGTCCTTGAGACAGGCAGAGTGACCTTGCTCTAGGAACTCAGCAGTCTGGATGTTGACACTTTGTTGAGGGCAAAAGGCAATCTTAGCTTAACATTATCCTTACCTCCAGATTCTTGTAAGTTTCTTTTAACATATACAAATTCTTTGGAAACTTCCTTTATCTCAAATCCCTCCAAGATATATGTTAGCAACCATTCTCCAAGCATATGGACCACTGATATACATATGAATGGTCTCATGACTGAGGTTTCATTAGACAGTAACAAATGACCTTTTCCTAACAACAGCTAGCCCCCTCAAGGTCCTGGAAACATTTCTTCCAAGATTCCTTAGAGACTTACGCTATCCCTAACCCTCTCCCAACTTGTAAGTATATAATCAGTCGTTCCTCACAACCCCAGTGCAGCTCTTTCTGCCCATGAGTCCTATCCCTATGCTTTTAATAAACCGAAGACATCTCAAGAATTCTTTCTTGACCGTTTCTGCCAAACCCCAATATTTCCACATCTGAATATACAGAATTTGTCTTTTGTG